AGATTGGTCGATTTTTTGGCTTTTTGCAAGAAACTAGTATGCGTAATAGTAATATTAGGTATGTAATGTTTGAAACTTCGAGAAGTACAATTCGTTTTATACGCAAGGGTAAACACAAAGCGAAGCGTTTACCAAAGGTTAAAGTTATGAAATTATCACATCTAAACAATATACTTTGTTATCATATTTACGCGAAATAAATGTTTATCAAGTCGCCTCATAAAATGTGCTGTATTTCGGCTTTGCTACAAACACAGACTTTCATTGCTAAACCTTTTGAAACAATAGAATCTGGGAAAGAAAAAAACAAAGGGAGCTAAAATTATAATTTGAACAGAACATTCCATAGCAATAATTAAATCGCAGAAGGTTACATAACAAGCAGAGTTACGCAGGTGAAAAATTTTGTTGATTAGCTATTTATTAGGATGTCACACCGAGCTGTTTTAAATTGAGTTTATTTATAAATAAACAGTTCTTAACTACAGTGAAACGAATGGCTTCTACTTTGAAAAAGAGAGCAACACAGTTGAAACAACCAGAAAGAAAAGGTAAGCTAAAGTAAGATTTTAAACTGCTTTAGATGAAAACAGAGACACTGCAGGCATGCCAAACAAAACAAGCTGCTCAACACCCTAATGAGATTTAGTAGTATCAATTCATTGTGTGAAGGGCAGCTCGGTTGACGACGGTATACTGGGGTATTTTTCCTGCGAGATCAATAACGTAGAGTGGAAAAAACTGGAAAACCGCGGCAAAGTCGTCAAAATAAGCCGCCAGTCATTTTCAGGGATTATTTTTGACTACGATCAACTTTGTTGTTCGATTGAATTTGCCACGGTTCACTTCACGATACTGCGGTCAGTGCAGTAAGCCCACTGAGGAATTTTAGAAAAATAAGAGTACTGAATTTATTCCATGTCATAAAAAATGCCGGTAGAGGGTGCCGGAGCGTTTGGTCAGTTTCAAAGACCGAAAAGCTGGTGCACTCACATTAAATAGATTCTTCTCAACAGACATAATAAACTCTATGTGTCGGACAAAAAGAAAACAACTTATGAAGGTCTTTGACATATCCAATGAACCAAGCAAAACGATCTAATTTTATCGACGACAGATCTTCGAAGCTGACAAACCATAACTTACTTGCACCGCGTCATTACGGAAAAACAACTGACAAGTCAGTCAGTTTTCACCAACCAAACTGATATCCCTTGACCGACAAACATCTTGAGCAGAGTTCATCTTCATTTTCACGTGAGAGGTTGTCAAAACGTCACGCAACAACGCCTGTCCCTCTGAGGGCTCTCCTCAATTTGACGGTCAGACCACACAACCGACTGCTGTGGGAACACCTAGAATATAAGGCCATTTACCCAGTGGTGGCGAGTTTTTCGGTGGCGAGTCTGTTGTGGTGGCGAATTGACCGGATACCGGTCTGATATCAGCCTTACAATTTAACTCTCTTGTTATTTTGTAGTTTGTCCTACGACGTGCAATTTTTAAAGTATTCTCCAGTACTACGTATGAAGTGTTTAAATTGGCCCAGTTGTTCCTGAAGTTAAAATGTAAGAATAAGTGAGTATCTCATATGCTTCTCTGAGTTTTATATCTATCAGAACAGCGCTCATTAGTAAGTAGACAATTAATCAGCTCCATGTACAAGCCACTTGCAAGATGTTCAAACCTAAGGTAGGTTTGACCTTACACGCGGCTATTTAGTATGTAGAAACATGCTGAGAAGGCTCCTTACACTTTTTTTTCTGCAAAAATATTTCAACCATAACTATAGAGGTAAATAAAAACACCAGATCTTTTACAAAAAGAACATCGTCTTAATTTTTCTCAAGCATCTTCTTAAAATTGTTCCCAGGGAAATCCGGGTCGGAGAAAATCGTTGAGTTTGAATAACCTGACGTCTGAAGAACATTACCCAGACATTAAGTCAAGACTCTCAAGAATACGACTATCACAGCTTTTTCGAGGAAAAGGTGAAGTAAAGGGAAGAATTGACCCAGAACTTGAAGTCAATCAAAGAATTGTAACATTCATCGACGACCATGAATCCAGAGGGACTGTTCGTCATATTGGTGAAGAAAAAGACTCCAATGGAAACGTTCAAAAGATTCTTGGCTTGGAAATGGTAAGGCCTGTACTTATAATAATTTTGTTTGTGAATAAGAGCAGTGATAGAATATGTATTGAAGTTTAAGATTCAGTCATACGGTACTGATACCGTCTTTATATTACATGACCTAAGAAGATGATGTTCTCTGAGAGGATTATCTCCTGAGCCACAAGCAAAGACTTCGGGGACGTCCATTTGAACAGGATCCGTGCAACCTGCTTTCACTATCATTTACTGATAGGTTATGTTTTATCTTCAGGAATGACTTGGCTTTTAGATTTGCTGCTTTGTGTCTCGTATTAGATTGGCAGCATTTTGGCCCGATGCCTTTAGAGAACACTTTCCCACCACTTAAGGCTGAAAAGCAGCCTTGTAAGCGCTAACATCGACTCTTTTCTCGAAGCTTTGCATGTGAGGTGTTACAGTTTTATAAATGCTGATAGCTTTTAACCACCGAAGGCAAATTAGTAAGAAAACATATAAGTTATCTATAGTATTGTTTAAAGAAAGAAGGTAAAAACTGTCTCCTGCATAGCTGCATATGTTTTCTAGTGACTTTGTGATTATCTTATAAAATAATTACGGCTATAAAATTCCTTTTTGAAATTCGGATAGGACGAAAGATTCAGGGAAGGTGGATGTGGAAGAAGAAATGGAAGACAACTATTCACTTGTGAAGATGGTTTTTCCATGTTTATTCCTGTGGAATCTGCTATGCTAGAGAGAGAGTTTGATGCTGAACCTAAAGAGTCTGAAACACCGGATGAGGAAGAGAGTTCTGAGAAATTCGATTCGCCGTCTGACGATGATTCATCAGGTAAGGAACACTAGTGTTTTGAACTTAAAGCCGACTGTGCTAGGTGAGCTGTAGAGTTATCTATGTATGAGACACAGGCACAAAACTTAATAATCAATGACTGTGACAGCAACGATAGATAAAAGCTCTCATTATCAGGGCAAAAATCACTGTTCTGCCGAAAAAATTTTTTTTTTTTTTTTTTTACACGTCAAATACATGAACCACTTATTACTTCCCTGGGAACTCATTTGTTCTTCTAACGAGCGTACTCGTGGTTGGTTACCTGTCATGTTACCCTTTTACAATAGAATCTTCAGTGCTTGATTAATGCTACATGTCTCATTTTGTTCGATTATCTAACGCCTTGAGCATTTGGACTTCGGGCTCTGTAGATTCTGACTTATCATCATTATCTGGATATTTAACGAGCTTTTGGGTCCATATAAGATTTTTTTTTGATAGATTAAATGATGCCTGGCCAGTTTAGTGCTGAGATTTACCATTTGGATTGATTCTTAGAAATGGGTCCTGGTCCTGGGGCACAGTTGGATGAAGAAACAACGCATCAAAACAATGGTATTTCGAAACAGCAAGTAAGAGGGGAACCAGAAACTTTTCTGAACAAAGCACTTCAAGAAAGTGAGAAAGAGCAAGAGACTGCATTTCAACAAAAGCAGGCTGCCGAAGAGGACTACCAAGAAGATTTTTCCATTACAGCTGTTAGATTCCACGACGGAGAGAAAGAGGAAGAGCGACGAGAGGAGAATTTTTGTTCAGGGTTAAGTAACACTGAACAGAGATTAAGAGAGGAACTTACAAGAACAAAAATTAGAGTAGTTTTGTTAAGTAATCAGCTCTCAAGAAAGCATCAGGATGCGGAAAACTTTCAGAGACAAATTCAGAAGATAGAGCAACAGTTGACAGTAAGAGAAAATCGAAAAGAGAATTTTAGAACACAACTGGATAACGAGCAAAGATTGCGAGCGGAATTAAACGAAAGAGAAACGACAGAAATTCTGCTACGAAAACAGCTCAGAGAAAAGGATTGTCAAGAAGCAAGCCTCCAAAGAACACTATGTGAGCAAGAGCGGCAACTGGAAAAGGAACGAGGATTACAAGAAGAATTAATAGAAAAAGAAACAACAGAAATTCTGCTACGAAAGCAGCTCAGAGAAAAGGATTGTCAAGAAGCAAGCCTCCAAAGAACACTATGTGAGCAAGAGCGGCAACTGGAAAAGGAACGAGGATTACAAGAAGAATTAATAGAAAAAGAAACAACAGAAATTCTGCTACGAAAGCAGCTCAGAGAAAAGGATTGTCAAGAAGCAAGCCTCCAAAGAACACTATGTGAGCAAGAGCGGCAACTGGAAAAGGAACGAGGATTACGAGAAGAATTAATAGAAAAAGAAACAACAGAAATTCTGCTACGAAAGCAGCTCAGAGAAAAGGATTGTCAAGAAGCAAGCCTCCAAAGAACACTATGTGAGCAAGAGCGGCAACTGGAAAAGGAACGAGGATTACGAGAAGAATTAATAGAAAAAGAAACAACAGAAATTCTGCTACGAAAACAGCTCAGAGAAAAGGATTGTCAAGAAGCAAGCCTCCAAAGAACACTATGTGAGCAAGAGCGGCAACTGGAAAAGGAACGAGGATTACGAGAAGAATTAATAGAAAAAGAAACAACAGAAATTCTGCTACGAAAGCAGCTCAGAGAAAAGGATTGTCAAGAAGCAAGCCTCCAAAGAACACTATGTGATTGGAAAAGGAACGAAGATTACGAGAAGAATTAATAGACAAAGAAACAACAGAAATTCTGCAACGAAAACAGCTCAGAGAAATGGATTGTCAAGAAGCACACTTCCGGATGCAACTGAGGATGCAAAAGCAACAACTGGAGGAGAAAGTTAAGGAGATGAAACTTTAGGAGAACAATTTCAGGAAATGGAACGCAGGTTGAAGGAAGAAATAACTGAAAAAGATGCGAGACAAGTAGTTTTGTGTGAAAAGATCACCGAAAAGGACCAGCAGTTGACGGAGATGATACAACAATTGACAGTGACAGTGGAGCGGGAAGAAGATCTTAAGACGCAGACAAAGAATGTAGAAGAACAGCTGAGAGAGAATGAGGAGCAAGTTGAGAATTTACGAACGAACCTGAAAGATGTAGAGAAACGATTAACACAGAAAGAGGCACAAGAAGAAAATTTACGATTAAGCCTGGAGCAGATGGAGCAAAGGATGAGAGAAGAATTAACACAAAAGGAAACGAGTGAAACTGAGTTGCGCAAACAGCTTAGCGAAAGGGAGGAGCAGGCTGTTGACTATCAGAGACATTTGAGCGGGATGGAACAGCAATTGTCAGAAAAAGATGATCAAAAGGAAACTTTACTGAAACAACTTAGAGAGATGGAACAACGATCGAGAGAGGTTACAGCGGAGAATGAGATGAGAGAAAATGAGTTTCGTGAACAAACCAGAGGGGAGAGAGAGCAAGAACTGAGGGAGATGGCACGTCAGTTGATTGAGAAGAAGCAAAAAGAGGAGAACTTACGCGCGCAAATAAGGGTACACTTAATGGAACAACGGCTGAGAGAAGAAATGGAAGAAGAAGCTACTAGGCTAGTTGAACAGCTTAGAGAAAGGGATCAACAAATAGAAAACTTTCAGATGCAGTTGCAAGGGCTACGTGAACAACTCAGAGAAAAGGATCAGCATTTAGCAAACGCTCGAACGCAGGTGGAGGAGCAAGAACTACTCAGAACAGATCTCCAGCACCAACTTGAAGCAATTGTAGCAGAAAATGCAAATCTCCGACAACAGGTTGTTAACCTCGAGAATCACACCGGATCACAGCCCGATGATTGGGTAATTTCCCGGGATAATATTCAGTTGACTGATAAAAACCTTGGAGTTGGAGGGTGGGGTGAGGTTTTTGAGGGCAGGTACTGTGGCTGTTCTGTTGCCGTTAAGCGAATCCATGAGGCAATTAATTCGCCTCACAACCAGAGTTTGTTCCAGAGGGAAATTGATATTGCTTCACGATGCCGACACCCTTGCTTGCTGCAGTTTATCGGAGCGACTTATGACGAGGAAATTCCACTGTTTGTTACTGAGCTGATGGAATCAAATTTGCGCGAGCTACTGGAACAACGACCTCTTTCCCGTGAGGAAATCACCGTAATTTCGCTTGATGTGGCTCGAGCGTTGAACTACCTCCACCAAAAGAAACCTTTCCCTATTTTTCACCGCGATGTTAGTAGCGGCAATGTGCTGCTGTGGCGACAGGCTAACCAGTGGCGAGGCAAAGTGTCAGATTATGGTTCTGCTAAGTTTGAGGAACAGTTCATGTCAATTGGCCCAGGATGTTTCGCCTACAGTGCACCTGAAGTGCAGATACCAGCAAAGCAGACAGCAAAGGTGAGAAAATAAGCTTACAGAATTACGTTGGAGAAGTTTTTTTAAAACATGAACCCTTTACAATTAAGGATTAAGCGGTACTTGTGTCTTAACTCAGTCTTAAGTCGTGTGCTCGGTTAACGCAAAACGGCAAAGTGTGCTCAGTCTACAAAAACGGCAAATTGTGCACGGTCTACACAAACGGCAGTGTGCTCAGTCTACACAAACGGCAGTGTGCTCGGTCCACACAAACGGCAAATTGTGCTCCGTCTACGCAAACGGCAAAAAGCTTGTGAAAACAGCGATCTTATTTCATTGTTTCTTCTTGTCCTGCTTTTCAGATTGATGTCTACAGTTTCGGTGTTCTCCTCTGTGAAATGTGCATTCAGAAATTCCCAGAGTATCAAAACCGTGAACGTCAAATCACTCAGATGACAGACCAGGTATTGCAAGACCTCGTCCGCCGATGTGTGCGGTCAGATCCCACTGAAAGACCAGACATGACAGAGATTATCAGTACACTGGAAGAGTTCAATAAAACGTTGTAAGTTTGTAGGGGCACGCTTTTCAAAACCATTATCAGGGTTCTTTTTTTTAAGAATACTAAAGATGAAGAGTTAATCTGAGAAAAAAAAATTATTAGCTACGAGTCGCTTGTAATGCCTACGGAGGATCACGAATTTCACAAAAATAGGCTTTGTATGCACTTAGAAACAATTGTCAAGTTTATGGATGAAGATAAATTAAGACTTACGAAAAAATTCAACAACATTTATCCGTACATACAGCTTTGTTAAGTATTTTGTTTGAAAAGTATATAAACAAATCTTACAGTATTAACATCAAATGATGTTGTCCTCGACTCTTTGAATTATTCAAGAGTCCATTCATACTCAGTTAGTACAGTGTACGCGTTGGCTTTGTAAAGAAATGCATAAATTTTTATCATAAGCATAGAATATTTGATTGTCACCGAGAAAACTAATTTCCCCATGTGCATAAATGTAGGCGATAACTATCCAGCTACAGAGCAGTTATATTAGGCTGTAACATGCAATCCCAGAGTCTCAATCTGCAAAACACGACGAGTGAAAACGAAAAACCTTAGGGGAAAAAACTTATTAAGGAATCTTTTCCGTATAATGGTGTTAATCAATCCATTAATTTTTAATTTAAACCCCGATAGACAACAAGAAATCAGTTGCGCACTGATGGTTGGAGTAACTTTTTAGTTACAGGCAGAACTTTAAAAAAAAATTCTTTGTATTTTAAAGGCTGAACGGTTTATGGCTCATTCAGTACAGAAACGTTTAAGTTTTTTTTATTGGGTACAAATCGGTATTTATTCAAGTGTAAGCATATTTAAACCCAAAGCAATAATCTACGTGTCTTTTGTTGGATTGATTTCAAAATAGTACCAATAACCGGGTTGAGAATGGTTCGTCCCAGTCTTGGATTTGTTCCTTCTCATATAAATGTTAAGATAAAATTTGTTGACACTTACTCGTTGATTTGTATTTGAGCTATCTGCAATTTTTGGTGGTTTGAAAGCTGGTAACGTTACCGCGGAACCCTGTTTTGTCTTTGGTACTTCAGTTCAATCACATATGCTCATCATCAACTGATACAGGATGGTGCAACTGAATCATTAGTTAAGAGTCATTAAGAGAATTAAGAGTCAGTATTCCTTTATAACATTGTAATATACCTGTACGTGTTATGGTGATAAAAAAATATATCCAATAGATCTTAATTTGCCCACCAACAATTGTTTTTCTTTTTGTACCACCTGCTCGTTCATTACTCTTGGTCTTACTTGGATGCGTTTTCCCAAGGTTCTCATGTAAACGAGTTGCCCGCGGGGTGCAAAGAAAATTGTGTACTCAGATGAGTAAACTTTTACATAAAAATATCTGAACTCCATTATCAGGGAGGAGGAACAGAACTCCTGAGCTTCGCAATTTGCGTTTCAATGCTCCACCATTCAGAGTTCAGCAGTGAGATAGAAAAACCACTGGTATAGGTTAGGATGCGACAAGCGTTTTGCTTCCCTTTAGGATGATGTGCAATGCCGTAAACATTGTGTGAGTGAAAAGAATAAGAAAGCGAAGGGCATATGTTTAGCTGAAGTGTCTAATGAAGAAAGATGTTACTCGTTTTGTGACGAGAATGGGTCTGGAAAACAATCTGCTTTCCTCGTGGAATGGGGTGCTTCACTTGAAAGGGTTTTCTGTTTTCGTGCTTAGGGTAAACCAAGGGTCAAAAACATCTCACAAGTTAAGGTTCAGGAAATTGAGTGTCTGATGAGTGTCTCAATGGTATAAAGAACCTTGTAGCTGCAGCGGACTTGCATAGCCAAAGTTTTGGGGCTGTGATGACCCTTTTACTCCCAAGATCTCAATAGTAATTCTCCTTACTGTCTGCCGTACAATTCTTATGATGTTAGTTTGGAGAATTTGGTCTTAGATCAACTAATAATCCCCAGATTGATATTTGTGTTTATTCTCATCACTTGTCTGCATGATATTGTATCGACATTGTAAGGAGAAATTCTGTCTTGGTCACTCAGGGGAGTTACAGGATTAAAAGCCCCGGCCAATTACAGGAACCGGAAGTTGTTTCGGACGATCGAAATCTACCACCATGCCGCAAATCCACCTATTTTGATCATTGATATTAAAATCACTGTTACTAATTATTGTTGGTTTAGTTTTTTTAAACTATTTTCTGTCGAAACAATCCAGTATACTCAATTTCTTCATGGCAGATTTTAATTGATGAGGGCCCACTAATCAGTTAAGATCTGCCAATAGGAAACTGCACGCTGATTTTTAAATATTCATCAATGTAATCGGCCATATCCCGTATCCCCATGACGTTTTCCATCAGAATGCTTAAATGATTCACTTATCTCCTGGATCGCTTTAACTGCGCAAACAATTCCAGTTTTGCAACTGTCACAATCTGCTTTTTGACCCTTGTGCAGAACAGCCATGCAAGAGGAAGTTCTGTCGGGCATCACCAACTGGTATTTTTGTCGGACTGGACAGGCTAAAGCCTTTGCGCTTAGATGCACAAGAACCTGACTATCCAGAACCAAAGGAATTCAAACCTTATAAAACACACCTACAGTCTGTTACAAGGAGGCACGATCCACTTCTATACCCCAAAAAAGAGCTGACAAAGCATCAGTACAGACTGGTCAAAACATCGTGACTCTTGTCGTGGATGTTTCAGCCAGAGAAACTAAACTGCAGAAGAGTAAAGAGGAATCTATAGAGAAAAACGAGGCGAAACAATGGTAGGCCTGCCTCTGGTAAGGTACATTGCATTTCACTTTGTTTGTTCTTTTTTATTAACCCTTTACACTCTAACATCAGTATGCATATTCCACATACTGTCTCTCTACATTTCTTAAGGTTCCGAGAAGGAGAATTTGTTCAGCAAACAAGAGCTTCTTTAGTTTTTGATGATTTTCCTTAATCTCACGACCCTAATGTTTTATCCAGGGATGATCTTATAAGAAATTACATGCCAGTCGCTCCTTGGGGTTTAAGGGTTAAACGATTGGTGGTGAAATTTGTGTGATTGAAAGTTTCGGCTAAACACAGACAACGATTCACCTCAAATATCCCATGTGAGTTTATAATGTAATGCAACTGTACATGTACATGTACAAATCACGAGATCAGTTGGCTTAAATCTGCAGGGGAAAAATAATATTCGAGCATAAAATTTCCAGGCAGTGTTTTAGTTCTTCCAAGTATAATAATGCATGGTACTTGGCCTTTGCATGTGTAATTTTCTTGTTGAGGATAGTCGTGAAGACAGCAAGCACCAACACCAGGGAGCTCTTTATCTCACCCCTCAAAGGATAATTTTTTTCTCTTTTACGGCTGCAGGTTCAGTTCTGCACAGTATCAAAAAACTCCTCCAGCAGAAAGATAAACCAAATTCTTCGCTGTGTCTAGCCACCCTAACAGAACTCTCCTACCTAATATTACTTTATTTCATCGGAAGTTTCGGAAAAATGGAATTAACCCTTTAACACCCAAATGTGATTAACATGTAACTTCTCCCTAGAATATCCATACATTATCCAACAAACAGGAAATAAGAATACACAAACTAATCAGGTAGATTTTATTTTGAACTAACAACAAATTCTCAATGTGACAAGGTAATGTATAGTAACAAGAGGGGAGAATTAACAATCAGATCTTAGGAGCTAAAGGGTTAAACGAAAGCCGGAAGGAACGGGAAAGAATCTCTCATTGGTAAATTAGTTTCTCTCTTTGACAAAAGAACCTGCAAAAATATTACAAAACATTTAAGAGGGGTCGCGTGGGATAATTCGCAGCATTTGCTTGTTCAATATTCGGAAAATACTGGGCCAGCAAAGGACTAATTCGATTTGTTAATTTTATCATTTGCGCAATGGACAAGTTAGCTGTGTGTTATAGGTTGATGTAAGACGGGCTTTTCCCCCTGCACGTACTCTACTCATACTAGATATCGATCTGGCCTTCCCTTGCTTTGCTGGCTTTATCACAAAGTGAAAGAGAGGTTCTCACACCGGAACGATTTGTGCAAAATCAAAACATTCTGATTAAGAGAGAAAACGAAAAATGATGGACTTGGAAAGATCAATTACAGTGTTCACTTTTGTTTGAGGGGCTGTATGTAAATGCGATGGTAAAAGTGTCACAAATTCAAAGGGTGACCTCGCAATGAGTCTCATAAAGAGTATATCGTAGAGAGGGCGCTGACAATAACAAGCGAAGTTACCATGGACAGTCTTTGCGTGTGTGCGCGAATATGTTCTGCCCACGGGCAGGAAAGAAATGAGCAAAGTCGAAATTGCCATGGAAAGTTTGTGTGTGTGTGTGTGTGTGTGTGTGGTTGTTCTGCCCTAGTCAGGGCTCGTGAGAGATATGAAAAATAAGTTTTGTTTAAAAAGAAGTGCTTATCGTTTATTTAGAAGATAACCCAAAACCGTTTACGTGAGATTAGTTTAGCCCGCAATTCTGATAAATGGAAATGTAAGGCACAAATCGGTTAACAACATAAAAATCGTGGAGGAATTCCGTTGTTCTAATCCCAGGTCAAGGTCTAATCCAAAAAATAAGCAATCAAGGAAGTGTATACAAGTTAAGTCATTTACTAACAAGTAAATGAAACACAAGTAATTGGCTAAAATAATCAACTTCTATGTTAACAAGTTGAAAGTAAATTCCTCTAGGGAATGAATTAAAGGTTTAGAACTTCAGTAAATTGATCCAATAGCTTAACAGAAAAAAAAAGATTGAAATCAATTTTCTCTCTGGCGCTTTCTTCGAAATTCGAAATAATAGTGGGACCAGGTACAAAACAACAAAAACACTTCAGCTACAGTACCGGCCAGAAAAACCTATATCTCGCCACGGTATTAACGGTTACGGTGCCGAAATTTCACTTCAGGTTTAACTTGTTCTTGTTTGTTTGTTTGTTTGTTTTTGTGGTAAAATGATATTGTGGTAACCAACTAAGTACTTAAATGCCAAACTGG